TTTATGACTTTCTACCTCTCCCAGGATGTACACTAACTTAGAGAATAGTGAAGGCTCTGAGAAGACCTTCCTCACTGGCTGCTCCTCGCTTTCCTCTGTTGATTCCTCCTGATCTCTCCAGTCACTGAGTAGCGGGCTCCCTCTTCACCTGGGCTTGGGCTCTTCTCCATCTACCTTCACTCCCAGGGTGGCTTATCCAGTCCACTAGGCTTCAATATCATCCATATGCTGTTGACTCCCCACATATCTCCATCCCAGACTCTATTCCAGAAGTGGGCTCAGTGGCCCAAGCGAATAGCTGGATGCCTAATAGGGATCCCAAACTTAACGTCCAAATGGAGCTTGTGATTTTCTGCCTCAGCCTTGTTCCTCCCACAGGTTTCCCTATCTTAGTTAAGGGCAACTTCATCCTTTCAGTTGCTCAGGCCAAAGCCTTCAGAACCACCCTTGACTTGACTCTCTTACACCACATATTTATTTGATGCATCTGCATTTTGTTGGCTCTACCTTCAAAATCTTCCCAGGCTCAATTCTCACCACCATGTCTCTATCATTGTTGTCCCAACCTCCATTATCTCATTTGTGTTGTAATAGCTCCCTCACATTCCTGCTTTCAATTTTCAATCCATAGTTGTAGAATTACAATTGAATTGAAACGCACCATTGCTTGGCAGCACATGAAGTCTGCTTAGAAATGCAACTTTGATCTGAAAACAGCTGGAACTCCATGACAGACTATGAAATTTCTGATCACAGGGTGATTTTGCAAGGCTCCCTGGCTAATGGAAAAACAATACTTCAAAGAGAAACTGCAGACAAACCAAAGCTCCTGGAATTTTACCTGGGAGAGTTGTTGAGAGAATTTAGCAGCTGAAAAACTGCCTGATTCTCTTCTTTTGCCTGGGATTTGAGGCAGGAACTTCTCTGACTCAGAAAAGCCTTTAGTTATAATTTACAGTTGGCCTGGGCTCTTCAGCTGGATTCCTTTCAAGCTTCACTTCCAAGAACCTCCTATTTGTTTTTCACTTACTGTCCTGTTTGTTTCACCCTCCTGAGCATGATCTATCTCACAAGCCCCTGCACACACCCCTTTACTGCAATAATATGTAGGCCCTGGGAGAGCAGTAGCTCAGTCTTTATAAATCAGAACTAGAAGCATCCTTAAGGATCTTCTGGTATAGGAGTCCATTAGATAGAGGGGAAAAAAGTGAACTTGCAGGCTTTTTCCTGACCACATGTTAGGTTGTATTCTTTCTTTTCTTTTTTAAATCCTCACCCAAGGATATGCTTACTGATTTTAAAGAGTGGGGGGAGAGAGAGAGAGAAGCATTGATTGGCTGACGCCCACACTCACCCCGACCAGGAATCTAACCCACAATCCAGGTATGTGCCCTGATGGGGAATTGAACCCTCAACCATACCGTGCACAGGGGACACCAACCAACCAAGGCCTGCCTCCAGCACGCCCCCTACTGGGGGTCCAGAGCACATGTACCTCATACTGTTGGATCCCTTCTTTCACCATACACATTGAAGACTATTGTGCTTGCCCACAAATAAATATTCACTTACTTTTCTGAAAACAGGGCTGGCTCTCTGTAGCCTAAAATAACAATTCTCAAATTGTTAAAAATATAGTTGTCATGTTTGTATCTTGATTGGGTTGGTTGTTACTGTTAGGGGGATTTGCCTAACAGCTACATGAGTAACAGCTACATGAGTGTATACATTTGTCAAAAATCATCATCCTTGCCCTGGCCGGTGTGGCTCAGTTGGTTGACCAGCGTCACATGCACCAAAGGCTAGTTTGATTCCTCTTCAGAGCACATGCCTGGGATCCCCAATATGGGGTGTGCATGTGCCCTGGATCCCCAGTAGAGGGCGTGCTGGAGGCAGCCCATGATGTATTCTATCCCTCTCCTCTCAAATCAATTTAAAAAAACATATATTTTTAAAAACATGGTTTTTAAAAATCATCAGCCTTGTACACTAAAAATGTGGGAATTCTGCTGTAATTTCTACCTCAGTAAATTTGATTTTAAAATTATAAGTAAAATTATGTCCGGCCTGCATGGTTCAGTGGTTGAGCGTTGACCCATGAAGAAGGTTGCTGTTCGATTCCCAGTCAGGGCACATGCCCAGGTTGCAGGCTTGGTCTCCAGTGGGGGGGGGGCATGCAGGAGGCAGCCAATTGATGACTCTCATCATTTATGTTTGTATCTCTTCCTCTCCCTTCCTCTCTCTGAAATCAATAAAATAAAAAATAAATAAATTATAAAATTATAAGTAAAATTAATAAAAAATACTAACCAAAAATTATTTGTAACTACATTATGACAAGAGATTAATATCCTTAAGAGATTATAAACATAATTCTCATACCAATAGTCATCTTATTTAATAATTAATGAAAGAACCAACAGTCTGACAATTCTTTGAAAACAATTTGAGAATGGTTAATGGGCAAAGGGATGCTGAAATATGATTGCTAAGTTAGAAGCAAACTTCTTTCATGTCCTACAGGGTAATAAAATAGTAACCTTTGGGGTTGGTTATCTTTTCCATTAGACATGGAATTGCACCTTATCAGTTCCCTACAAGTTGTCCTCTAACTTTACAGAGTTATAAAACATCATTGCATCCTAATCAGTTGTTCATCAAAGTTAAATTTCCCCAAAAAGTCAGATGTGCCTTATGTGGGTGTTTTAGAAATTCTCCAGCATGATTAAAAAGCCACATAATCACCATGTCACATTTTCAGATATTAGATAATTTCCCTCCACACATTTTCATTATTCCACATTTGATAAAGACAAGGAATAACTAATTTCTTTTTAACTCTACCTAGGAAAACAATAGCACAAGTATGACAGTAAATGGCAACTGCCTTTAGGGCTCAAGGTGGAGGTAACAGAGAGCAGAGGGGACTGTGGCAAACCAGAACATCATTCCCTTCCCCATCTGAAGGGGAAAGTGGCTGTGCAGCTCCAGCCAACTGTTGCCATGTGGGAGAGCTGGTCCTGTATTGCCATCCTTTCCCATTTTGAAGAGAATCTGGAAATAGAAAATTTTATGTGAAACCTCTCAATTTTTAAATGTTGGCAACCAGTTAAAACTGCTCTCAAATTCTGTAAAAGCAGACAGGATGAAGGAAAGAATGAAAGGAAAGCCAACCTGCTGAATCTGGCCTCAGCCAGTGTCATTATCAGACCTAGAACAAAACCTTCTTACAGGAAGATTGAGGCCCAAAGAAACACCCCCAAATCACGAGGTAAGTTTGGGCTAGACAGGACTTAGAACCCAAGTCCCTGGATTTCCAGGCAGAAGCTTTTCCCACAAGACAAAGAGAGGTATTTTCTTTGCCTCCCACCAAGTGCTTCATGTTTTATTTACTGATTGACCAAATTTAAATGACTTGTATATAAAGCTTGTAGTAGCCTTAGGTCAAGTTCAAGTCAGTGTGATATGTCCACTGTTGTATAGGATTACCCTTATTTATAACAATAGCTCCTTTTTTTTTTTTTTTTTTTAGCAATCTTTGTTCCAAGCTCAATTCTAGGTGCTTTACTCATATCATATAATTTGGTCCTGTAATAACCACATGATTTAGGTACCACTATTACCTCCATTTTACAGATGGGGCAACTGAGGCTTAGAAAGGTAAAGTCACTTGCTCAAAGCCATAGCCCCACATATTTATGGTTCCAAAGTTGATGGTCTTAACCACTGGGCTAGACTATCTTTACTCGTTCATTCGTTCATTCAGTCAGTCAAGTAGCTACAATGTGTTGGTGCCAGTTGCTGAGCCAGGAATTATGGGGGAGAACAACTTCATAGACCCAAGTTCTAGTCTAAAGCCCTCAGGCTGAGCCTAACTGAGTCCATATTCAGCCCACATCCTACTCTTCTAATCCAAACTAACAAGTGGTTCTTGAAACGTACAAAAGACTGGGCTGTGTAATTTATACCTCAGCAAAGTTGATTTAAAAATTAGTAGAAGTAGCAGCCACCTCTAGATGTTTAGGGGTCCTGATCAAATGAAAAGATTTGTGATAATGCAAACACATTAGTAGACTAGGTTTCTTGAAGACCAGACCCTCATGGTGTAGGAGGAAGAAAATGGTGTTGAGCTTGGATAGGGTTTGGATGTCAGCTGAGCTCAATGGGCAGGCAGGTCCTAGAGACAGGAAGAGAACTGTGCTTTAGGCAGCACGTGCACCTTGGATGCTGCAAAGAGAGAATGGAGGGACGAAGACTACTTTGGAGGTTATTACATGGGAAAAAAGGAGGGATGAATAATAGAGTTATTTCAGGGTACATTCAGCAGGCATGAGGTATAAATATCCAGATGTCACTTAAACTCTCTGGTTTAAGCAAGTTTCCAGCAGGCTCTTCATTAAAAAAAAAAAAAAAAAGCAGTGTGATGGAAAGAGAGTATTTTCAAGGTCTAAATCCCAGTTCTTCAACTTTCTAGCCTTGTGCCCTTAGAAAATTCATACATCTCAGGGCCTCAGTTTACTGATTTGCAAAGGGACCTAATAATATCTACCTTCTAAGGCCTTTGAGAGGGCAACCTAAATGGTATATGTGAAGCACTTGGTAAGTGGTACAGGCTTAATGTTTATTTCTTTCCTTTGTTTCCTTCTAGCTACAAGTCGAGTTGGGACATGTTCTTATCGGTTATGGAGCAGAGGAGTTCAAAAAATGTCCTTTACATAGTACAGTGGGAAGCCTCACAATGGTGTTCTGAGAGAACTGTGAATTCTGAAAGGGCTTTTCAACTGTCAGAGAAAAATTACATTTTAATTGGTTGAATAAGATAGAAGAGCTTTTGCCTGGACACAAGCCCTAGTCCCAAGAAAGCTGGGCATCCATGAACAGGTCCTTATCTCTCTGGTCTCAGCTCCTCATCTATAAAATAGGGATGGTCCCCCTTGTCCACCTTATCGAAGGGTTTGCGGGGTGTGTCCAACGAATTTGAAAAGTCTGGAGGCTTTGGCTGGAAATAAATGATAAAGATTTATTCAAGGGTCTTCGAATATACACACTGGGAACAGAGCTAGGCAAAAACACAGAAGTGTTCCAAAGACGAAAGAAAAGTTCTTACAGTGAAAAGTACATTCTTGAGGATTCTCAGTCCTGCATTCTTAGCCCTGGGACTGGCCCAGGGTAGTTATCAGTCAGAGGTCAGGAAGCCGGACGTGGGAGTCCCGGGGGAGGGGCAATCAGAGGCCCGGTGTCTGCCCAGATGTGTGGCCGGGCGTTGACACAGGACTGGAAAGTGGAAAGAGTAAGTTACCAGGCTCGTTAGAACACGAGGGGTCTTTCCTCACGCCTCGACCTTCATAATGTTAATAATTTTAGCAGCTTGGTTAAAGTGCCTCCATTTTATAGATTCCTTATCTTCACTCTTTCCTCGGGTGCAGGGTTGTGAAAATTCTTTCGCAACCGTGCACCCAGATGCACCGATGCTAAGCTCATCGTTACCTGCCCGCGGAATACGTCCGTTTCCAGCTCTGACTCCTCCCCCGGGAGCGTGTCGGCGGAACGAAGTCTGATCCCGCGTCCGGGACCTGACGGAGGTTTACCCGGCTCGGTGGCCGGCGCTCCGACCCAAGCGTCGCTCTGGTGTAACGAAGTGGAATTAAAATTCTCCGTGAATCAGTGATCACCGCTGCGGTTACAGAGAGAACCCCGAATAAAGGAATCGATCGCATTTAGAAACTTACTCCTCGCTCACGGCGATAGCCCAAAACTTTAGCATATGCTCATTTTCCCACTTACACTGAGCTATTGTGGGAAAGTCCTTTTTTCACGTTCTTTGACTTAAAATGTATCTCTATTTACCTCTCCCTCAAGTTTGGCTTCTTGACTTTCCTTTGCAACTGGCTGCAGACCATCTTAATATGATTGGTTAAAGCCTCCGCGCGTTACCTTTCCCGTGATCCGACGGAGGAAATAGAAAAAAAAAAAAAGTGTGTCTTAAATCTGTTTTATTGGCCCCGGTGTAGCGACGCACCGCAAGGGCTTTGGCACTTCAAAACTGTGATTGGCTTTTATGTCTGTCAGTCACGCTGCCGGAAACCAATTCTCTCGCCCGGTCGGAGGGAGGGGCTTAGGCTGGAAGGGTTTCCATTGGTTCGGAGCGCTCCGGCTCGCGACACGAGCCCGCACCGCTCGGTTGCCGTGGTTGCAGGTCGGGCCCGCCCGCTCGCGCGCTGACAGCGAGGCTTAGGGAGGAGGGGAGCGGGTCGGTTCCTCGGTCGGGAACGAGGCTCCGGCGGCCAGGCCCGCGCAGAGCTGTTGCCATGGCAGCCGCCGCCGGGGGCGCGGACCACGAGCCG